ACACCTCACGGTCTCAACAATAATGGTCAAAGCTCAACAGAGAACTGAAAGAATACGCTGAGGGTGCCTGTGTTAGGGCTATGCTTCAAAAAGCTCAATTGAATTTGTAGACTACAGCATCATACAGAATGGGGTGCTCTCTGGGCCCTCACCCTGAAGTCAGGTACTTGGTCAGTAAAGCTCTCGGTCCTATCTGTGATGTCATAAACAGCAGATCAACTTGCCGAAAAATGATATCAGTCCCTCCAAATTAAGCCATACCAGCAATGACACACACTACAGACTACACATTACAGACTACACACCACAGACTACAGACTACACACTACAGACTACAGACTACACACTACACACTACAGACTACACACTACAGACTACACACTACAGACTACACACTACAGACTACACACCACAGATGACACACTACAGACGACACACTACAGACTACACACTACAGACTACACACCACAGACTACACACTACAGACTACACACTACAGACTACACACCACAGACTACAGACTACAGACGACACACTACAGACTACACTACAGACTACACACTACAGACTACACACCACAGACTACAGACTACACACTACACACTACAGACTACAGACGACACACTACAGACTACACTACAGACTACACACTACAGACTACTACAGACTACACACTACAGACTACACACTACAGAGACACCACTCTGAACCACTAAAAGATGCAGCCCTACATCAGACCAGTAACAACTGACATTGATTCGTCATACTGTGGATTGATTCTCTCACGCCACTGTTTGTCTTACAACATTACAGCGAATCTCCACCGCGGTCTGAAAAGCATCTCCTGCTGAGATGCTATCGGATTACAATCACCGGTTCCACTCTTCTCCACATGATAAAGGTCAATGCAAAATAAAACAGCATTTTCCTATGGAGCGAGTCAAGCTTTATTGTTCTCCAGTGCCCGAGGGGCTGTGTGGACAAGCCGACACACACACACACACACACACACACACACACACACACACACACACACACACACACACACACACACACACACGCACACACGCACGCAAACACACGCAAACGCACACGCTGTTTGTTTGCAGGCTCCATGGGTTGACAGGGAGTGTGTGATAATCCCATTTGGCCTGACCTCTCACTGTGGGAGGGAAATGAATTCCGATGGCAACATAACAGCTGTGACTAGAGACAGGCAGTGAAGCCTTGAAGAGGCACAGTGTGGAAGTGGAGTGTGAAAACTGTCTATCAGAGAATCGGCATGGGGCCTATAATAAACTGACTGCAGAAGAGAACAGTCTACCACTGAGGCAAGGCTAGTATACTTGGCATCCTGTCATTATTACCTCTATCAGGTGTTTCTCTCTCTGTCGGAGTGGGAACTCTAGGGGCCAGATTGAAGTGTTTGTAGTTGAACTATGTGTGTTTTGTTCCAAACATAATGACATTGCAGGTAGAACCAAAATGTGAAGCCTAGCAAGATTATGAGAAGGAATAAGGCATGTTGCAAAAGCTTGAAATACACGTCCCTACAAACAACAACTATCTTGGGGTCCATGGCCCTACAAACAACAACTGTCTTGGGGTACATGGCCCTACAAACAGCAACTGTCTTGGGGTACATGGCCCTACAAACAACAACTGTCTTGGGGTCCATGGCCCTACAAACAACAACTGTCTTGGGGTACATCATGGCCCTACAACCAACAACTGTCTTGGGGTACATGGCCCTACAAACAACAACTGTCTTGGGGTACATCATGGCCCTACAACCAACAACTGTCTTGGGGTACATGGCCCTACAAACAACAACTGTCTTGGGGTCCATGGCCCTACAAACAACAACTGTCTTGGGGTCCATCATGGCCCTACAAACAACAACTATCTTGGGGTACATCATGTCCCTACAACCAACAACTGTCTTGGGGTACATCATGGCCCTACAACCAACAACTGTCTTGGGGTACATGGCCCTACAACCAACAACTGTCTTGGGGTCCATGGCCCTACAACCAACAACTGTCTTGGGGTCCATGGCCCTACAACCAACAACTGTCTTGGGGTACATCATGGCCCTACAAACAACAACTGTCTTGGGGTACATGGCCCTACAAACAACAACTGTCTTGGGGTACATGGCCCTACAAACAACAACTGTCTTGGGGTCCATGGCCCTACAACCAACAACTGTCTTGGGGTAGTGGCCCATAGGGCTCTGGTCAGAAGTAGTGGCCCATAGGGCTCTGGTCAGAAGTAGAGGATGCAGAGCATATCCGTTGATGTCAGATGGTCATGCTAGGGAATTAATGGGTCCTCTGAATCAACTTTGGGCATTTCATCTTCTATGTAAATTAGAGGCACTATTCAGGACGTGATTAAAAATCTGGGGAAACTGTGGCGCTCTAAATAAAACAGTTACAACAACAAGACACCCTACAGAGAGAAGGGACTGCATTCACTGACTGAGGAGAATGCATCTGGGCCTTGTTCATTAAGGCACGCAACGGAACACTTAAATGAGCGACCTCCCGGTTGCAGTCCTCTTCCGGTTGGTGTCTGTCTAATGAACGTGACTGATGATTGCAATCTATTAGTGCATTTTGTAGGACAGCATATCCTCTGATAGCTCCTTAGTGATGTGGACACCGAAGAACTATCATTGTCCACACATCACAAAACCTTATCCAGCAGGTAGCTTAGTGGTTAAGAGCGTTGTACCAGTAACCGAAAGGTCGCTGGTTCTAATACCCGAGCCGACTAGGTGAAAAATCTGTTGATGTGCCCTTGAGCAAGGCACTTAACCCTAATTGCTCCTGTAAGTCGCTCTGGATAAGAGCGTCTGCTAAATGACCAATTTATTTTTTATCCCCCTCAGGAGCCTGAAAATATTTGTCATGGGTCCTCAGATCCTCAAAATGTTCTACAGCTGCACCATTGAGAACGTCTTGATTGGCTGCATCACCGCTTGGTATGACAACTGCTTGGCACCCGACCGCAAGGCGCTACAGAGGGTGGTGAGTACGGCCCAGTACACCACTGGGGCGGAGCTCCCTGCCATCCAGGACCTCTATACCAGGCGGTGTCAGAGGAAGGCCACCCAAGTCACAGCTAGTTCTCTCTGCTCCTGCACAGCAAGCGGTACCAATGCACCAAGTCTGGAACCAACAGGACCCTGAACAGCTTCTACCCCCAACCCATAAGACTACTAAATAGCTAACCAAATAGCTATCTCCATTGACCCTCTAGTTGTGGAAAATACTGGAGATCAAGAAAAAGAAGGTAAGGATCAAGCGCTGCGTGGCTATTATGTGCCAAACTGTTTGGAACAATGTAAGCAACACTAAATAAATTACAAGCGTACCAGAGTGTCTGTGGTAACGTTTTTTTGAAAAGCCTTTATTACAGCAAAGACTAAAAACAGTCGCATTCGTTCATGCAATTTCCAAAATGGAACGGTTTAGGTCTATTTATTGTTTACGCTAATTATTCAATGGTTGCTTTATTATTTTATTTTAAAACTAAAATGCTTGATTGCATTTCACATCATGAATGACTCGTATGCTGTGTGATGACATGAACGAATAAATGATTGGAGTGATACAGTAGCCTACATAAATATTTAAATATAGGCCTAAGTAAGTTACATTATTATGACTAAGTCCTGTGTAGCTCAGTTGGTAGAACATGGCGCTTGCAACGCCAGGGTTGGGGGTTCGATTCCCACGGGGGACCAGTACGAAAATGTGTGCACTCACTACTGTAAGTTGCTCTGGATAAGAGCGTCTGCTAAATGCAATGTAAACAGGATGCGCTTAGGCAGCTCGATGGTGGTTATACAAGGCTGCTATAGTAAGCCTACTTATGACATTACATATTATGATGATCATAATAACAGTAATAAGGGGAAAAAAATAGGGTTATTATAATAAATAAATAAATTCCGACAATTACAAACAGCGTAAACACAAACTAAATGATAAATAATACCAGAGGCTGGTCTAACGAATAAAAATAATATGTCTTTATTACAGCACAGCAAAGATGAAAAATTGTTGCGTGATGCTTGGTGCTCCCGGAATCAGTAGGCTATTAAACAAACACTCCAACATGCAACAGAAGCAGGATCTGTCTTATTTCTGTAGATATATATGGATAATTTATAAAGCCAGGCACATTTAACAGTTAGGCTATTGATTATAGACCTAATTAAGTTGGGGTTTCCTCTCTCCTCACTTTCCTTAGACAATAAGGCAACGGCTGTTTTCTCAACTCATTCCGCTGCTGCCTCCGCCCCATTGTTCTCAACACCAATATGCTGGTTAACTTTGCTATTATTCACATAGCAACATGGTCTAGGAAAAGGCGGCAATTCAACAGCGCACTGTTGTTTTTCAGAACCGCGGACATCAACCGCTATCCAACTCGGGTAGAAAGAGCATCTTTTACAAAATAATATTTATATTAGCGTTGCCCCATTGTTCCTACGTAATATAACCATATGCAATTTCAGTAGCTCGTCTTAGGAGTGACGGACTGTGCCATCCCCACGGCCTCAACAATGGATCAGTCCACTCAGACAGGCCTCCACAATGGATCAGTCCACTCAGACAGGCGGCAATCAGACAGGTGTCTTGTACACCCTTTTTTTTTTTGCGACTGCTCGACTAAAGAAATCTCGGTCGACCAACAGCCTACAGCCTATTGACCAACAGCCTATCGACCAGTCGACTAAATGGGGTCAGCCCTAAACTCTCGACTCATCACATACACTGCTGCTACTGTTTTATTATTTTTCCTGTTGCGTAGTCACTCTACCCCTACCTATATGTACATATCTACCTCAATTACATCGTACCCCTGCACATTGACTTGGTACCCCATGTATTGGCCAGGTTAGCATTACTCACTGTATTTATTCATGGGGTTTATAATCTTTATAGGTTTTTCTCTCTATTGTTGGTAAGTAAGCGTTTCACTGTTAGTCTACACCTGTTGTTTACCAAGCATGTGACAAATAAAACATTTAGATCACTGTAGAATCACACTGGTTTCATGTTTATTAGCACAAACCTAAAAATAAGAGACATGTTCAATCCACTGTATGAAGTATATTCAGTGGTTACAGAGTAGGCTCACACTATCCGACCAGTAACAGAGGTTGTGTAGTTATTATCAAGATACCATAGACTAGATCACTTAAGACCGGAATTCAAACTCAATGACAGGAATGCTGCTAGATCAAAGACTATCAAACGAGCCATAGCAACATTGCTTAATACAACTAGCGGGGGCTTTACTTAAAAACCTTTACAGGCGGGACTCTGTTCCATGTAAAGATTAAGGGATGGCGTAAAGAAAAAAAAAAGGTAATTATCAACACAGATGTAAAGAACAATCCCTGCTAGGTCCTGGGGGTTTCAGCCACACAACAGATGAGACAAACAGACGTATTTCAAAGTTTAAACAAAAAGGAAAATTAATTGGAGACGCTAAAATGGCAACTTCTACTTTTCAAAATGTTTTCTGAGATTTTGTGCCAAATGAACGCTACCCTCCCATCCCCCACTATCAGACTTGTCTTGGGTGGGAACTGTTGGTTCAAAACATTCGCAGCCATTTTGTGACTACTGAGAGCTACCCTCCCATCCCACCAGACTGGGTCTCTCTCTCTCTCCGTCCTCTCACTCCTTCCTGCGTTTCTTGTCGTGGTCGTAGTCCTTGGAGCCTCTGCTGGTGGAGGGTCTCTTGGAGCCGCCGTGCTGCTTAGCCTCCTCCAAGAACTTGTCCAGACCGAACGGATCCTCCTCAAACTGGACGGGGCCGTCACGACGAGGACCGTGGTCCGTACCAGAGAACTCACGGTCCGGAACAAACCTGGAAGGGGAGGAGGAATCAGTTGCATGCTGGGCAAAAAATGTGCACCCATGTCCACCAGGATTAGAAGTTCCTTTAGTTCCCTGCAACCCTGGGGCGTAGAGGTGAGGGGACAGAGGTAGGGAAAGTTTAATCATTTGGAAATTGATAGTGTTCACTCAAAAATGGTTGGGTGCTGAATTCTGGTAGGTACATAAGAGGACAGAGTTGCCATGATCCATATGAAGTGCAGAGCCGAGTAAATAAATGCATTAAATAATTAATCCTTTTAAGTATTTTCCATTTAACTTTCTACATCTAATGTCTCCATATTTGAAAAATAATAAGGGCAGGTTGAATTTACCACTGATCGCCACCATCTATCAGATACACTGTTCCATAGGGTTTATCAGCCTATAGCTAGTAACACCAGTCCCTGTTAAAGTGACCCATTATCTATAGCCCAATAAAGAAACCAATCACATAAAGAAACCAATCACATAAAGCAGCCAGAAAAACCAAGGAAGACTGTCTTTGAGGAGACACTGGACATCAGGGGAGGGATGCTCCAGATGAAGTAAAGACTTTCTGCTCTGGCATACGCACCATACGGTCGACTCCTGTTAAGAACCGCACGCTCCACTTAGTGCAATATCACTATAGTACCTATGGACTGGAGCGTTCTCACGTTGGGTACGCAGGGTATAAATTAGGCTTAAACGTTGCATTTATCAGCAGTGGACTGTGCATCTCTCCATATGTCTCTCCCCAGAGAGGACGCCGCAGTGGCAGGGAAACAGCATGTTACTCTGTATGAGTGTGTCCAGGTATACAAAACATTAGGAACAGCCCTTTGGCCCTCAGAACAGCCTCAGTTCGTAAGAGCATGGATTCTACAAGGGGTCGAAAGCGTTCCACAGGGATGCTGGCCCATGTTGACCTCAATGCTTCCCACAGCTTGTGTCAAGTTGGCTGGATGTCCTTTGGGTGGTGGATCATTATTGATACACACAGGAAACTGTTAAGTGTGAAAAACACAGCAGCGTTGCAATTCTTGACACAAACCTGCAGGTTCTAGTTTGATGTTATCGTGAATATTGTCCAGTCATATGGTCATGTGCTGCAAAGAAGGACCTAGTTAAACTGCAGCTGGCCCAGAACAGAGAGCCACGTCTTGCTCTTCATTGTAATCAGATGGCTAATATCAATAATATGCCTGTCTCTCTTGGCGAAGAGTTGAGGAAAGTGACTGCATCTCTTCTTGTTTCTATTGGAAACATTAATGCGTTTGAAATTCCAAATTGTTTGCATTAGTCAACTTACACACAGCACTGACACACACACTTACCCCACCAGACATGCCACCTGGGTCTTCTCACAAATTCAAGGAAACATACAGTATTATACAGAGCCATGATTGCATAGAACTCCCTTCCATCTCATATAGAGCAAGTGAACAGAAAACCTGGTTTCAAAAAACAAATAAAGCAACACCTCACGGCACAATGCCTCTCCCCCATGTGACCTACTTGTTGTGTGTATGTACTAACATGTATGTGGAACTGATAGATGCAAACACATGTTTTTAAATGATAAAGTATTTTGTCTGTAATGTCTTTCTGGTTATGTGTCGGACCCCAGGAAGGCTAGCTGTCGCCATTGGTGTCGGCTAATGTGGATCCTAATCAAATCTAAATGTTATAAACGTATAGTTCTATTTGTCGCCATCGCATCAATTCAGGCAATTTACCGCAATATGGATTTTTGTCCACATCGCCCAGCTAGATGTCCCAGTCATTTCCATACATGTCATTGTACATATGTACAGTCCTGGTCAAAAGTTTTGAGAATGACACAAATACTAATTTTCACAAAGTCTGCTGCCTCGGTTTCGATGATGGCAATTTGCATATACTCCAGAATGTCATGAAGAGTGATCAGATGAATTGCAATTAATTGCAAAGTCCCTCTTTGCCATGAAAATTAACTTAATCCCCCAAAAACATTTCCACTGCATTTCAGCCCTGCCACAAACGGACCAGCTGCCATCATGTCAGTGATTCTCTCGTTAACACAGGTGAGTGTGTTGACGAGGACAAGGCTGGAGATCCCTCTGTCATGCTGATTGAGTTAGAATAACAGACTGGAAGCTTTAAAAGGAGGGTGGTGCTTGAAATCATTTCTTCCTCTGTTAACCATGGTTACCTGCATCATCATTGCTTTGCACAAAAAGGGCTTCACAGGCAAGGATATTGCTGCTAGTAAGATTCCACCTAAATCAACCATTTATCGGATCATCAAGAACTTCAAGGAGAGAGGTTCAATTGTTGTGAAGGTGGTGTCAGGGCGCCCAAGAAAGTCCAGCAAGTGCCAGGACCATCTCCTAAAGTTGATTCAGCTGCGGGATCAGGGCACCACCAGTGCAGAGCTTGCTCAGGAATGGCAGCAGGCAGGTGTGAGTGCATCTGCACGCACAGTGAGGCGAAGACTTTTGGAGGATGGCCTGGTGTTAAGAAGGGCAGCAAAGAAGCCACTTCTCTCCAGGAAAAACATCAGGGACAGACTGATATTCTGCAAAAGGTACAGGGATTGGACTGCTGAGGACTGGGGTAAAGTCATTTTCTCTGATGAATCCCCTGTCCGATTGTTTGGGGCATCCGGCGGGGAAGACAAGGTGAGCGCTACCATCAGTCCTGTGTCATGCCAACAGTAAAGCATCCTGAGACCATTGACGTGTGGGGTTGCTTCTCAGCCAAGGGAGTGGGCTCACTCACAATTCTGCCTAAGAACACAGCCATGAATAAAGAATGGTACCAACACATCCTCCGAGAGCAACTTCTCCCAACCATCCAAGAACAGTTTGGTGACGACCAATGCCTTTTCCAGCATGATCATAAGGCAAAAGTGATAACTAAGTGGCTCGGGGAACAACACTTCTGAAATGTTGGGTCCATGGCCAGGAAACTCCCCAGACCTTAATCCCATTGAGAACTTGTGGTCGATCCTCAAGAGGCGGGTGGACAAAAAACCCCACAAATTCTGACAAACTCCAAGCATTGATTATGCAAGAATGGGCTGCCATCAGTCAGGATGTGGCCCAGAAGTTAATTGACAGCATGCCAGGGCGGATTGCAGAGGTCTTGAAAAAGAAGGGTCAACACTGCAAATATTGACTCTTTGCACAAACTTAATGTAATTGTCAATAAAAAGCCTTTGACACTTATGGAATGCTTGTAATTATACTTCAGTATACCATAGTAACATTTGACAAAAATCTCATAACACTGAAGCAGCGAACTTTGTGAAGACCAATACTTGTGTCATTCTCAAAACTTTTGACCATGACTGTATATATCTAACAGTATATACACAGAAGGGTAATGTAACAGATGGCCTTGCGTACTTGTTGGTCTGCATGAGTGTGTCCAGGTCGTCGCCATACATGTCCTTGTCAGAGCTCTTGGTGGGCCGGTAGATGTTCTGAGCCATGTCGGCGCCTCTCCTGAACGGCTGGTCGTACACATTGTACATCTCATCCTCCCCGCCTGCAAAACCGCTGTCCATACCCTGGTAAACAATGACATCAGACTTAGAATGGGATTGTTCAAAAAAACTACCAGGGAAGCACACAACTTTCATAACCTTCTTTGTGAGAACCACTTGACATTTACGAACAGATGTATTAACAGCCAGCGGATCCCACTGACACTTGAGAGCCTTTATTAACCCCTGACAATAAAGTGTGTGTTTTAGTGGTGCGCGGGCAGATGTTTTTTCACCTGCCCGCAATTGCTAACAACCCATCTGCAACAGACTATATGTGATAAAGTGAAAATCTGAGGCCCACTCCTGACCCTAACCCGCCAATATAGAAATTGGACGGAATGATTTTGGGATATTTGACAGAGGGTGCAGGACTTAGTTTTGCTTGATGTAGACGTTTCTGTTTATAATTTCCGACATTTTGGTAGGCTATCCATTAGTCAACTTGTCATGAATGCTTCAATCTAGTTGACATTGGTAAAGTTCTCGGTCACCGCTGCTTCTTTCGCGGAGCAAAAACAATTAGGGACTGGAGAGAAAATGCCATAACAAAATAGAGAAATGGGAAAGATTTTCTGTGTAAAACGTTCAAATGACATCAGTTCGACTGGTAGTAAGGAAATAGAAAGCAGTGAAAACTACCCAACATGTTTCTGATAAGACTTCAGCTCAGCTTGGATGCATATTTTATGTGGTTGAAATACTATCAGCTTCTATGATGCTGATAAAGATAGCACTACCTGTGCATTGGCATTCTCTCAAGATGCTGAAAGAAATAAATCATATTTCTCCACTCCTGTTCCCGAGTCAAAATGTAGCCTACATTTGGTATCATAGCGGAGCTACACGGGACACATAACATAGCCGGCACTGCTATCATCCTCTTTTACCACTTCACCAAATCTTTCCCAAACACGACTTTTCTGGCCCTCCCTTCTCTTTATCTTCACCTCTCCATTTCACAGCTTCTTCTCTTATTGAATTAAACTCAAATAGTTGTTTTTGCCTCCATGGTTCGACGAGAACTTTTACTGCCTGTCCCCAAAATATTTGGTAATTGGTGTGTAAGGTATTTGGCATGCATACAGTTAGGCCCTCAGCCTTATGCACTAATGCCAGATAGGTTTTTCTTTCATTATTTTAGACTAAATGTAGCCTATAGATAGAAATCGCACAAGAATGATACATTTATTAATTTAAAGTTTTGTTTTCTCTTTATTCAACCCGCCCGCCACCCACCCGGACTTCATCCACACAATATTTCATGACCCTAAACCCGCCCGGCAGATATAACCGTGGGCTATAAGTCAACCCATGCATCACTAGTGTGTGTGTAGGTGTGTGTGTGTGCGCACTCCATCTCACCTTGCTCTGGTTGAACAGTCTCTGGTCGTACTGAGCCTCGCTGGAGGCCCTAGGGTTGGGCTGGCCCAGAGCGATGAGCTCACTGATATCTCTGTCCTGGTCTCTCTGCAGCTTCGACCTGACGATGGGAATAAAGGAGGAAGGACAGAGACAACAGGATAACTATTCATTTCAGGTGTACTGCAATGGAATGTAGCTTACGAGCTAAACCTAGCGCCCCCAACCTGCTCCAAACCGCCTGGGCACGGTCCGATAACGTTACCCTCCCAATCTCTACAAATCTGCAGATGATCACGTCCAGCACACAGCAAGGTTAAGTAGTCGCTGTGGGTCTCTAGCTCTCCCTCACTCCCCATCTTCACTCCCTGCCCCTCCCTCTCTCACTCCCCCTCTTCACTCCCTGCCCTTCCCTCACTCCCTGCCCCCCCCCTCACGCCCTCTCACTTGCTGTCTCTCTGTCGCACTGCAGTCGTAGCAGACAGACAAGGGGTCAGGGCTGGGTGCTGCTGTGGCCAGCTGCATTCATTCAACATTTCTTGTGCGGCGCACAATTGGCCCAGCGTTGTCCAGGGTAGGGGAGGGAATGGCCGGCAGGGATGTAGCTCAGTTGATAGAGCATGGCGTTTGCAACGCCAGGGTTGTGGGTTCAATTCCCAAGGGGGGCCAGTATAAAAAATAAAAAAAATGATTCACTAACTGTAAGTCGCTCTGGATAAGAGCGTCTGCTAAATGACTAAAATGTAAATGTAAATGTTACGCACCATGTAGATAGGTGTGTGTGTGTGTGTGTAAAGTGAGTGTGTCGTGTGTGTGGCTGGAGTGCATGTGTGTGTATGTGATGGTGTATGGACATATGGTTTGTGTATGTATGCGTTGTTAAAGAAGCATGTACCGCTTATCGGGGGCGGCTCTGGAGATGTTCCTGTCGTGCTGTCTCTCTTTCCTCCGGTCATGACGGATCTCGTCACGCTCTCTGGCCTCACCGTCCTCTCCAGCTGACACAGGAGAGACGGAGGGAGGAGAGAAATAGAGGGGAGGTATAGGAGAGGGAGTGATAGAGGGAGGTATGAGAGGAGAGAGATGGAGAAGGAACAGGGGATGGAGAGATGGAGAAGGAACAGGGGATGGAGAGATGGAGAAGGAGCGATGGAGAAGGAACAGGGGATGGAGAGAGTAGGACAGTGCAGGGGAAGAGAGGGAGCAATGTGGTTACCAGGAGGCTCACTCACATAAACAGAAACGACAGCTGAGTCCTCCCTCCACATGCACAGAGCTACTTGGACAAGACTCAGAAAGATCTATTGGTTTGTGTTTCTCAATGCTGCATTTGGTTAAACATTGTCAGTATATTTAATTTCAAATGTACTTATTAAGGATTTATGTGACCATGCACACAGCTTTACTACTCTATATATTGGAAGTCCTTGTACAAGAAAACATGAAATCATAAACAGATGACCTGATCCTAGATCTGTGGTTAGGGTAAACCTGAAGGAGGAAGAGGGTGGTGGACTGACCTTTGTCCCCTCCGTGACCTTTGATCCCTGCCCTGCGGTCCCGGGCCATCTGAGCCAGCTCTCTGAGCTTCTCCTCCTTCTTCTCCTTCTCTTTCTGGGCCATCTTCTTCTCCACCTGGGCTCTCATCTCCACAGCCTCTCTGGCCTAGACAACACACAACGGGAAGAATTGCTATGTGAATCAGCATCATGTTCTATACTTAAGGTCACAAGCGTAAGTGTGACTCACAGACATAAAGGCTTAGACACAGAACAACAAAGAGAGAACACAGCACAGAATCATATTTTCATGGTGACAGAATCACTCTGAAATCAAGAGCATACAGAATTGTAGTCAGCTTTGAAAATGGACACAGAGAGATGACCAGATATTTCAGAGAGGCTCTGAGAAGTTGCTAGGCACAGGACAAACACCAGGGTCCAAAACCACAGACTGTTTACCTTTCTGTCAGCAATGTAGAGCGCCTCGGCCAGTTTGGCAAAGTTCTCGTTGATGTGAACGGTCTGCAGTCCTCTCCCGTCCGCCGCCAGACGCTTGTCCAGTGGGATGGTGTAACCCTAGAACACGGAACACAGGAGTTGGGCTTCGTCCAATGTCGTCGCTCTTGGCCTCAAACAAAGACAAATGTCTCATTGATTCACTAATGCCTCCAGAGGGAGGAAGCAGAGTTAGTCAGTACCTTTGCGTTCTTCCAGTTTGAAATACAGGGAGGAATCTTCCACTCCTGTTGCTCCTTGACAGTCATCTGAAAGGACAGAGAGAAAACACTTCACGTCTTTGTCCAACATTTACACAGCTAGAGGGAGAAAGTTCTAGATGAAATGTATTGAATTGACCAAATGCTTTTTTTGTATGTTTTTATTATTTATTTTTTTACCCCTTTTTCTCCCCAATTTCGTGATATCCAAATTGGTAGTTACAGTCTTGTCCCGTCGCTGCAACTCCCGTACGGACTCGGGAGAGGCGAAGGTCGAGAGTCATGCGTCCTCCGAAACATGACCCTGCCAAGCCGCACTGCTTCTTGACACACTGCTCGCTTAACCCGGAAGCCAGCCGCACCGTATCGGAGGAAACACTGTACAGCTGGCTGTGACAAATTATTAAAACTATTTAACGTTTAAACTGACATTTTTCTCTCTCGTTCATTTTATTTTCTTCATAAAATGACATGAATTCACATTTCAGAAATGGTCCTGCGTACGACTGCTAGGGGGCAATGCAGTTCAATGAACCGCAGTCATGGCTACCTACCATCTTGTAGTCTGGTTCTAGATATGCCATCAGGGTATTGAAGCCGACATCCTCTACCATTGACAATGGCTGCATATCAACTGTAATCATTTCTGTAATGAGCGCTGTGATTTTCTCACTCCGTCCCTCATCGCTCTGCTGCCAGCAACGGGTTTGGTCTCACGGCGCCTCCCTTTCAGCATTGCACCTGTACTGCAGCTCAATTACACTTCGCCAAGTTTGCATTTCATCACCTTCTCATTTAACTTCTCAAAGTATTGCCGTACAGGTCTTCGCTGCTGTCGCTTCCTTGTCTCAATCTCTGCCATTTTTCCAACAGTTAACGACGATGACGCGTGGAGTGCTTTATATCCGAGGCAAATCATTTGAAAGATGCATATCTCCTACTTACAGCATTATTTCATTAGGTATTTGTTACATTTAAATTTTTTGCCTTTATGATGATCAGGACCTGTTAGTGGTATTTCTGTGATAACTGCAATGGGATTTAAATATAAATAAAAAGGTTTCGTTTAGGGATTTTTTTCTAAACGTTAATGATCCCAAATTCGTTCAAATGTTTAAACGTCCCACCCCTAGTCTGAACCCCAACGGTACCTTTCTGCTGGGGGAGTGCATGACTGGTGCAGGAGGGGAGGGAGGTCCACGAGGAATCTTCTTGTTGATCCTGAAACAACAACCAAACATTACATCCTAGTTAACGCAAGGGGGTGGGTTCTAGTCTACATCAGTTTTGTTTAAGGATGTGCATGACTCGAGTTCCCCCAGCAAGATAATAAAAGTGACAAGCATGTAAGTTAAACGGGTTTAGCGTGAATTTAGTCAGTGACCATGATGAAAATGTACTTACTTGAAGCGTGGGGGCTCCATGGGATCCTTCTGCATCTCCACCATACGGATGACCCTCTGCTTGGCCCCGGAGTTGAAGGCCACACCCTGCTGGGAAGGAGTGTACCTGGGGGAATAACACACAAGGTATCAGCATCTACATGCCCCTTTCAATAAACCACACAAACACTGAATCCATTATAGGTTTCATGGGGACTGTCCTGTAGGCTACATGTTGCATGTGAAGTAAATGGAAGTATGCGATTGTACTTTTGTGTTCAGACCACAATGATGATTTCTAAATTGAGTCTGAAAGACGTAGTATTATATTCTTCTGTAGGACAGAAATACATACAATGATGTAAAATGTGTGCATCATATACACTTAGAGGCCAGTTTATAATAATATAATAATAATAAGTTATTTAGCAGACGCTTTTATCCAAAGCGACTTACAGTCATGCGTGCATACATTTTTGTGTATGGGTGGTCCTGGGGATCGAACCCACTACCTTGGCGTTACAAGCGCCGTGCTCTACCAGTTGAGCTACAGAGGACCACACCAGCCCGTTCACGAAAATGGTTCGCTCCTACAGACAGTAAATCACGTGGCCGTGGCTTGCTATATAAAGCAGGCAGACAGGTACCAGTTACTGTTCGATTTAATGTTAGAATTGGCAAAACGAGTGACCTAAGCGACTTTGAACATGGTGTGATCGTGGGTGCCAGGCACGCCGGTTCCAGTATCTCAGAAACGGCCGGCCTCCTGGGCTTTTCACTCACGACAGTGTCCAGGGTTTACCGAGAATTGTGTGACAAACGAAAAACAGCCAGTCAGTGGCAGTCCAGTGGCCAAAAACAGCTCGTTGATGAGAGATCGAAGGAGAATGTCAAGAATCATGCAAGCATTCAGGCGGGCCACAAACAGGCAAACAACAGCGTGCAGAAAAGCATTTTGGAACGCACAACTCGTCGGTCCTTGTCACGGATGGACTTTTGCAGCTGACGATCACACCGGGTTCCAATCCAATCAGCTAAAAACAAGAAGAAGCGGCTCCAGTGGGCACGCGATCACCAACACTGGACAACTGAGGAGTGTAAAAACAACGCCTGGTCCGACGAATCCCGGTTCCTGTTGCGTCATGGTGATGACAGAGTCAGGATCTGGCGTAAGCAGCATGAGTCCATGGCTCCATCCTGCCTGGTGTCAACGGTACAGGCTGGTGGTGTAATGGTGTGGGGAATGTTTTCCTGGCACACGTTAGGTCCCTTGATCCAAATCGAGCAACGTTTGAACGCCACACCTTGTACAATCCACCGCCCAAAGAATTCAGGCTGTTCTGGAGGCAAAGGGGGGGTCCGACCCAGCACTAGATGGGCATACCTAATAAACTGGCCACAGAGTATATCACAGAGAGCAACCATACCTGATGTACTGTGCAGGGGCCTGCTTGTCTGCTGCCCTCACAGGCATGGCTGCAGCGATCTTCTGAGAGACCTGCTTCATCAGAGCATCACGGGTCTTCTCTGTCAGCTCTTTGACAGCCTCCTCGTCAGGCTTCTGCAGCTCTGGGGCATCGTCGTTCAGCACTTCCTTAGGAAGCAGGTCTGTGTACTTACTGAAGATCACCTGCACAGGGAGAACAGAGGAGACAGCTGAACATACAAGAAACTGAACTCTACACTGGTTCTATTCGCATCTATTCAAATGATGGCTCTTCGTTTAACACAGGATCTGGTCATGAAACAGCTTTATTTACTTGGTAACTGTATGACAATAACAATGGTGGCTCACAGCACAGAAAAAGTATTCAGGCAATTTCGTTCCCTAACGGCATAAATCCAAATAAAAAGGACCAATAGGCTTCCTTTATGTCACAGACTCATCTGAGAATGTCTTGTAGATCTAGCTACACCAAGCAGACCAGCTGGATATCTTTTAGTTATTTATGCATTTTGTTTTTACCCCTTTTTCTCCCCAATTTCGTGGTATCCAATTGGTAGTTACAGTCTCGGGAGAGGCGAAGGTCAAGAGCCGTGCGTCCTCCGAAACACAACCCAGCCGAGCCGCACTGCTTCTCGACACAATGCCCGCTTAACCCGGAAGCCAGCCGCACCAATGTGTCGGAGGAAACACCGGCCGGCTGCGACAGTGCACAGCTAGCACTACGATGCAGTGCCTTAGACCACTGCGCCACTCGGGAGGCCCGACCAGCTGGATAACTAATAATATTCTTACCTTGTCCTTGCCCTGTCCCTGTCTGGCGATGGCGTCGTATTTGATCTTGCCCTCAGCGTCCACCTGAACGGCCAGTGCGTTGGACGTCTTTTTCTTCCTGCCCATCTCCAGAGGGAACTGGGCAACGTGGATCTCTGGGAAGGCACCGCCATCACCAAAGTCCTACAACACAAAACAAGGCAGAGAGTCAAACAAACTGTGAGATTATGAGGAAGAAGCTATGTGGAGATGTACCTCTATCTCCAAAGTCCTACAACGCAGGTGAGCCCAACACACACACCAAGAGGAAGTCTCACATGACATATTTTCTGCACAGAGTGTAATTTCTAACACAGCACCAACAATAGCACATTCTTGTAAGGCTTTGACTGTCCCTTCCATTTTACATAGAGTGCCTTATAAGACAACTCATAGCTAACACCGAATAACAGCATCATTGAATCCATTAAACTAGGTATGGAGTAAATCTCAGTACCTCCAGAGAGCGGGGCACCCAGCTCTTCCTGTAGCCGTAGGGAGGGGGTTCTCTGCGGGAGGAGACCAGGGCGGTGGAGTGGGACCTCTGTGCCCGGGCTCTCTCCTCTGACTCCAGCTGGTCCTGGGACAGCTGCGTCGGCGCCGGTAGAAAGCTGCAGGCAGACAAACAAAATACTAAGTTGTCATTCTTTTTTCGCTATTAAGTAGAATTACCGCAATTCAGATATCTCGACTGTAAACAAGGCTATCTAGCTACCTAACGTTAGCGTACGGTGCATGTGCTAGCTTCAAAGGCTTGTTTTGAGACACAAGACAAGGTTGTGTTCGCACTAATAACATCAAGGTATATTTTCTAATAAACCTGACCCCGATACACCAAATAGCTAGCTAGCTAATCCCCAAGACAAGAAACCACCAGAGAGCAGTTAGCTAAAGTTAGCTTGCTAGCTAGCCAACTAGGCCAGGAGTTAGCCTAACTAACTAAATGCTAACTACCAAAACATCGATTTCAAAGAAAGAATATGGGGGTAAGACGTTAGTAACGTTAAATAATGTGTTAACATGCCATTTGATCATTTACAGGTGTTGTACATTCTGTAAAATATAAATAAGGCCTTGCCACACGACTCACCTCGTAAGCGACATGTTTAATTTCTTCCGTTGATCGCACAGACTAACGTCACACGTAGTGGACGCCACTATGTTCATGATCTCGCGATATTGGATTGGACATTGTTTTCTCACCGCACTAATCAAAGTCATCATCAATGCTTTTCCAAAAGTCACCACACCATCCCATCCGTACGCCTATTGAAAAGTGTTTCTGGATTAAAAAAGATATTGAACAAGTTGTTATTGAAATATCAGCAAGTCAAAACAAGTGTTGGCTATTGTGTCTGGAAAAGAGAAGAAAAAGACACACAGTGCACAATGTTAGTGAGGTAGGGATATAAAGCACTATTAACTAATCGACCTGTAAATCCAACATTTCAGCTACATGTGATTTACTCTTTAGCATGTGAGGTCATCAGTCGATAGTCGAGAAGGCTCCCGCATATTTCACATTATTACGATATAAATAAAAATTAACTGAGGAAAAAAAGAAAAGTGAGTAAAAGACTACGATTATTTTTAATTTTTTTTGATTTCTGTCATTTAGCAGACCCTCTTATCTAGAGCAACAAAAAGCCAATTTATGCTTGATCGGGCCGTGTAGTCCATAGGCTCTGTACAGAGGGTGTGAATCAATTGCAGAGCCTCAGGAGGCTTGTGGAGGCCAAATCGAGCGTACAGCATTGGCGTGCACCTCCCAAATTTTGTAACAATGCGGAGGGCTCCGTGTAACTCCGCATTGACATGATGTTGACGGTAGGTGGGGGTGGGAGGTCCTGTATAAACACAAAATCACTTCCTTGACAACTTCCTTCACACCAGCTCTGCTCTGCTATCCAAAGCACAATAAGTATGAAAGCCCTGACCTCTGCAGAGGCCGTATCAATTAAATGCTGTGTGGCCACTGCAGACATCGGATTGATCACGTAGAGCCTTTTACATTATTGCATTCATCTTAAGATAGCTAGGTGAGACAACAACATATCACAATTTTAGCAAGTACATTTTCCCTCAACAAGGTAGTTATCAGCAAAGTCAGTGCTAGTAGGAAAAGTGTATATAAAAAAAATATATATATAATGATTTTTTGGGGGGGTTATTTAAGATACTCTTTAAAGAGGTATTTACATTTCAGTCATTTAGCAGATGCTCTTATCAAGAGCAATTAGGGTTAAGTGCCTTGCTCAAGGGCACATCAACAGAGTTTTCACCTAGTCGGCTCGGGGATTAGAACCAGAGACCTTTCGGTTACTGGCACAACGCTCTTAACCACTAAGCTACCTGCTGGTATAGGGTTTCAGATGTTTTCGGAAGATGGGCAGGAACTCCCCTGTCCTGACATTAGGGGGAAGCTTGAAAAACAGAAAGGGAAACGCCGCACACTGCTGCTCATGCTCCCAGGTGATATTTATTTATAACAACGTTTCCACCCTTAGGTCTTCATCAGGCATGTACGTATGTTCTTCATCTATTAGGGGGAAGCTTGACAGAGAAGAGCTTTGACTGGGCATAGCAGGAGCTAGGGGTGAGAGGGCCAAGAGACCAGAGGGGTAGGGTTTGACCATAGGGTTGAAGGTAGGAAGGGGCAGTTCCCCTTGCTGCTAGATAAGCAAGCACCAGGGTCTTACAGATGATGCCAGCTTCGACTGGAAGCAAGTGGAGTATGCGGAGGAGCGGGGTGACGTGGGAGAACTTGGGAAGGTTGAACACCAGGCATGCTGCGGCGTTCTGGATAAGTTGCAGGGGTTTGATGACACATGCGGGGAGCCCAGCCAACAGAGAGTTGCAGTAGTCTAGACAGGAGATAATCAAGTCCCTGGATTAGTACCTGTGCCGCTTCCAGTGTGAGGAAAGGTAGTACTCTACGGATGTTATAGAGCATGAACCTGCAGGAGCGAGTCTCTGCTTTGATGTTTGCAGAGAATGACAGGGTGTTGTCCAGGGTCACACCAAGGTTTTTTGCACTCTGGGAGGGGGACATTGTGGAGTTGTCAACCGTGATGGAGAGGTTGTGGAGTGGGCAGGCCTTTCCCGGGAGGAACAACAGCTCCGTCTTGTCGAGGTTTAGCTTGAGGTGTTGGGCCAACATCCAAGCTGAGATATCTGCCAGGCACACAGAGATGCGTGTCACCACCTGGGTGTGAGAAGAGGGGAAGGAGAAAAATAGTTGAGTGTCATCCGCATAGCAATGATAGGAGAGACCATGTGAGGATATGACGGAGAAAAGTGACTTGGTGTAAGGAGAAAAGAGGGGAGGGCCAGGAACCGAGCCCTGGGGGACACCAGTAGTGAGAGCATGTGATGCAGACACAGATCCTCTCCACGCCACCTGGTAGGAGCGACGTGCCAGGTAGGATGCAATCCAGGAGTGTGCAGAGCCTGAGACGCCCAGCCCTGAGAGAGTGGAGAGGAGGATCTGATGGTTCACTGTGTCGAAGGCAGCGGGTAGATCTAGGAGGATGAGAACAGAGGAGAGAGTCAGCTTTGGCAGAGTGGAGAGCCTCCGTGACAAAGAGGAGAGCGGTCTCATTTGAGTGAGCCACCTTGAAGCCTTACTGATTAGGGTCAAGATACAGTTGAAGTCGGAAGTTTACATACACCTTAGCCAAATACATTTAAACTCAGTTTTTCACAATTCCTGACATTTAATCCTAGTAAAAAATCCCTGTTTTAGGTCAGTTAGGATCACCAATTTATTTTAAGAATGTGAAATGTCACATTGAATGATTTATTTCAGCTTTTATTTCTTTCATCACATTCCCAGTGGGTCAGAAGTTTACATATACTCAATTAGTATTTGGTAGCATTGCCTTTAAATTGTTTAACTTGGGTCAAACGTTTCGGGTAGCCTTCCACAAGCTTCCCACAATAGGTTGGGTGAATTTTGTCCCATTCCTCCTGACAGAGCTGGTGTAACTGGTTCAGGTTTGTAGGCCTCCTTGCTCACACATGCTTTTTCAGTTCTGCCCACAAATGTTCTATAGGATTGAGGTCAGGGCTTTGTGATGGCCAATCCAATACCTTGACTTTGTTGTCCTTAAGCCATTTTGCCAAAACTTTGGAAGTATGCTTGGGGTCATTGTCCATTTGGAAGACCCATTTGCGACCAAGCTTTAATTTCCTGACTGATGTCTTGAGATGTTGCTTCAATATATTAACATATTTTCCTTCCTCATGATGCCATCTATTTTGTAAAGTGCACTAGTCCCTCCTGCAGCAAAGCACTCCCACAGCATGATGCTGCCACCGCCGTGCTTCACGGTTGGGACGGTGTTCTTCGGCTTGCAAGCACCCCCTTTTTCCTCCAAACATAACGATGGTCATTATGGCCAAACAGTTCTATTTTTGTTTCATCAGACATTTCTCCAAAAAGTATGCTCTTTGTCCCCATTCCTCCAGCATCTTCACTTACATTTTAGTCATTTAGCAGACGCTCTTATCCAGAGCGACTTACAGTTAGTGAGTGCATACATTTTCATATTGGCCCCCCGTGGGAAACTACCTACAATCCTGGCGTTGCAAGCGCCATGCTCTACCAACTGAGCTACAGGGCCTTTGCTGTTGTTCTGGGATTGATTTGCACTTTTCGCACCAAAGTACGTTCATCTCTAGGAGACAGAACGCGTCTCCTTCCTGAGCGGAATGACGGCTGCGTGGTCCCATGGTGTTTATACTTGCCTACTATTGTTTGTACAGATGAACGTGGTACCTTCAGGCATTTGGAAATTGCTCCCAAGGATGAACCAGTCTTGGCTGATTTCTTTTGATTTTCCCATGATGTCAAGCAAAGAGGCACTGAGATTGAAGGTAGGCCTTGAAATACATCCACAGATACACCTCCAATTGACTCAAATGATGTCAGTTAGCCTATCAGAAGCTTCTAAAGCCATGACATCATTTTCTGGAATTCCCAAGCTGTTTAAAGGCACAGCCAACTTAGTGTATGTTAACTTCTAACCCACTGGAATTGTGATACAGTGAATTATAAGTGAAATAATCTGTCTCTAAACAATTGTTGGAAAAATTACTTGTGTCATGCACAAAGTAGATGTTCTAACAGACTTGCCAAAACTATAGTTTCTTAACAAGAAATTTGTGGAGTGGTTGAAAAACAAGTTTTAATGACTCCAACCTAAGTGTATGTAAACTTTCGACTTAAACTGTAGTTCTGAGAGACATAATGACAGAGTTGGTCATAGACAGCACGCTCAAGTGATTTGGAAAGAAAAGAAAGAAGGGATACTGGCCTGTAGTTTATGACGTCTGAGGGAGTGAGTGTTGGTTTGTTAAGGAGGGGAGTGACTCTGGCCATCTTTTTGTCAGAGAGGATGCTTCCAGTGGTCAGGGATGAGTTGATGAGGGAAGTGAGGGATGGGAGAAGGTCTCCAGAGATGGACTGGAGAAGGGAGGAGTGGATGGGGTAAAGTGGGCAGATTGTCAGGTGGCTGGTTATCACTAGTCTAGGGCTAACCCCAATTTGTTGACTGGTCGATTGTTTGGTTTTTAGGCTGTTGGTCAACCGAAATTGTTTTAGTCGAGCAGTAACAAATATATATGCAATTTAAAAAAAAACGAATTTACATAAGTATACAGACCCTTTGCTCTGAGACTCGAAATTGAGCTCAGGTGCATGCTGTTGCCATTGATCATCCTTGAGATGTTTCTACAACTTGATTGGAGTACACCTGTGGTAAATTCAATTGACTGGACATGATTTGGAAAGGCACACACCTGTCTATATAAGGTCCCACAGTTGACAGTGCAAAAACCAAGCCATGAGGTCGAAGGAATTGTCCATAGAGCTCCAAGGCAGGATTGTGTCGAGACACAGATGTGGGGAAGAGTACCAAAAAATGTCTGCAGCACTGAAGGTCACCAATAACACAGTGGCCTCCATCATTCTTAAATGGAAGTAGTTTGGAACCACCAAGACTCTTCCTAGAGCTGGCCGCCCTGCCAAACTGAGCAGTCGGGGGAGAAGGGCCTTGGCCATGGAGGTGACCAAGAACCCGATGGTCACTCTGACAGAGCTCTAGAGTTCCTCTGTGGAGCTGGAATAACCTTCCGGAAGGACAATCATCTCTGCAGCACTCCAC